GGAGTGTTAATCCTCATTTCCCCCACCTGGGAGGCACACCCACCCAAGGAGCTCTGGGGAGGCCCAGCTCCCAGTTGGCAGTGCTACTCAAGGATGAATCCTCATTGCAACCTCAGGAAGGGGAACTCTGGGCCTTCAAACAGCTGGGTTCTAGGCCAGGAGCCAGGGGGGGGGGGGCTTACATTTTGCATTTCTTTGCATTCACACTTTCTCTGGGCAGCCCCCTTTTAACTTATTCCTCCCCCATTATAAGAATAATACATGCTTAGGCCTCCTGAGTGGCTCAGAAAATTAAACATCTGCCTTTGGCTCAGGTTATGATCCCAAGGTCCTGGGATGGAGCCCTGCAACTGGCTCTCTGCTCAATGCAGAGCCTACTTCTCTCTCTCCCTCTGCCCCTCTCTCTGCCTTGTGCTCTCTTTTTCTCTGCACTCTCTCAAATATTTTTTTAAAAATAAAAAAAAAGAATGCATGCTTGATGCAGAAAACTTAAACAGCAGAGAGAAATACAACAGAAAATAACTCAGAGTTAACCTTTATTAACAATTTTTAAAATATTTAATGTATTTATTCATTCATGTGACACACAAAGAGAGACAGAGGCAGAAGCAGGCTCACCGAAAGGAGCCTGATATGGGACTCCATCCCAGGACTCCGGATCACCACCTGAGCCATAAGGCTGAGCTCATAAGGCTCAACCATTGAGCCACCCAGGTGCCCCTCTATTAACAATTTGTAGTGAGCATTTCCAATTTTTTTCTTATATCAAAAAAATGCATCATGCTTTACATGAATTTGTGGCTTCTTTTTCTCACTTAGCTTTATATTTTGGCTCCTTTTATGCATATTTTATGTGAACAGTCTTCTTAATCATTTTTTACTTGCTTTTTTCAAAAAATTTATTTTAGAAAGAGAATGCGTGTTCACACAAGCAGAGGGAAGGGCAGAAGGAAAGGGAGAGAATCTCATGCAGACTCTGACTCCCCGCTGAGCACTGAGCCCAGTGTGGGGCTGGGTTTCACCACCCTGAGTTTGCCACTTAACTTACTGAGCCACCCAGGCTTCCTTTACTTACTTACTTTCTTTCTTTCTTTTTCTTTCTTTCTTTCTTTCTTTCTTTTTTCTTTCTTTCTCTTCTTCTTTCTTTCTTTTCTTTCTTTCTTTCTTTCTTTCTTTTTCTTTCTTTCTTAAAGATTTTATTTATTTATTTGAGCATGAGAATGAGCAAGCAGGGGGAGTGACAAGAAGGAAAGAGAGAAGCAGGCTCTCTGCTGGGCAACCCAGGCCGATCCCAGGACACCAAGATCACAACTCAATCCAAAGGGCAGCCCTAGTGGCTCAGCCTTCAGCACTGGGTGTGATCTTGGAGACCAGGGATTGAGTCCCATGTCGGCTCCCTCTGCCTCTCTCTCTATGTCTCTCATGAATAAATAAATAAAATCTTAAAAAAAAAAAACAAAAAACAAAGGCATATGCTCAACCAACTGAGCCACTCAGGTGACCCTTGCTTTCTTTATTACAGAATATTTTTTATTAGAATATCAATACCTACTTGTTGTAAGAAAAAAAGGCAATATCTATTGTACAAAGTGGAAGTTCTTTGAAATCCCACCCCTCAGAGATAATTGCCATGAAAAGTTTAATTTATATCCCTCAGTATTCTGTGTTCACATATTGATGTGTATGTATTTACATAAAAAGGATAAAAAATAAACACAAATTTTGAAGCTTGATTTTTTTCCTTTTCATTTTCTTTATACCCACACACTGAGCCATTTCAATCTCCTTAATGTCCACGTGTCTGTGCTAGGAATCTACCTCTTTAGTTAGCTACTTCCCTATTGAAGATCATTTTCTTTTCTTTCTTTCTTTCTCTTTCTTTCTTTTTCTTTCTTTCTTTCTTTCTTTCTTTCTTTCTTTCTTTCCTTCCTTCCTTCCTTCCTTCCTTCTCTTCTTTCTTTCTTTCTTTCTTTCTTTCTTTCTTTCTTTCTTTCTTTCTTTCTTTCTTTCTTTCTTTCTCTTTCTTTCGAGAGAGCACGAGCAGGGGTTGGAGAGAAACAAATAGACTCCCCACTGAGCAAGGAGCCTGATGTAGGGCTCAATCCTGAGACCCTGGGATCATGACTCCAGCTGAAGGCACTTAACTGACTGAGCTACCTGGGTGATTAAAAAATCTTCTAGATTTTTAAAATTCCAAACAATGCTCCAAGGACTTTTTGTATGTGTGCACATGCACATGTGATTCTGGAGATGTTTTTCTTTCTTTCTTTCTTTCTTTCTTTCTTTCTTTCTTTCTTTCTTTCTTTCTTTCTTTCTTTCTTTCTTTCTTTCAAGATTTTATTTATTTATTTATTTGAGAGAGAGAGAGAGAGTGCACAAGCAGGGGCTAGGAGCAGAGGGAAAGAGAGAAGCAGGCTCCCCGCTCAGCAGGGAGCCCAATGCCAGGCTCTACCCCAGGACCCTGGGTTCACAACCCAAGCTGAAGGCAACCGCTTAACCGACTAAGCCACCGAAGCACCCCTGGAGAAGTTTTTCTAGAAGTGTAATGTCAGGATCCAAAGGAATACGTATTAAAGAAAAAACAAACAAATTGGATTTCATGATCTTTTTGAAGATTTTTTATTTTTTTTTATTTTTTTTAAATGAATTTTTTTTTATTTTTATTTATTTATGATAGTCACACAGAGAGAGGCAGAGACATAGGCAGAGGGAGAAGCAGGCTCCATGCACCGGGAGCCCGACGTGGGATTCGATCCCGGGTCTCCAGGATCGCGCCCTTGGCCAAAGGCAGGCGCTAAACCGCTGCGCCACCCAGGGATCCCCGAAGATGTTTTATTTTTAAGTAATCTCTACACCCAACATGAGGCTCAAACTCACAACCCTGAGATCAAGAGTCCCACATTCTTCCAGCCAGGTGTCCCAGGGATCCAAAATTTAAGAGCATGCATATGTACATAGGGGGAACTCACACACAGATATGGAAATTCCCTGGTATTGCTAATCTTTTTCATCTTTGTTGATTTGGCAGGCAAAAAATAGTATTCCACTTTGTTTATTAATGAAATGGGCATCATTTAATGTTTGTAGCCATTTGTATTTCTTGTACTAATTGCCTATTTGTGTCATTAGCCTTAGCTTCCGAGTTATTCACCTGTTTCTTATTAATTTGGAAATGACTGTTTCATGTATTAGTGAGGTTGGTGCTTTGCCACATTTGTTGGATATTTTCTTCCAATTAAAACAAGGTTTTACTTTTTTTTAAAGATTTTATTTATTCATGACAGACACAGAGAGAGAGGTAGACACACAGGCAGAGGGAGAAGCAGGTTCCATGCAGGGAGCCCAATGTGGGACTCAATCCCAGGTCCCCAGGATCATACCCTGGGCTGAAGGCAGGCGCTTAAACCGCTGAGCCACCCAGGGACCACCAAAACAAGGTTTTAAATGACTGCATATTTTACCCCAATAGTAATTCCTATTTTGGATATTTTGTTTTCATTTTTCCCATTATAAAAAACACCATGATGAACATCTCTTGTGGACACCCACATTTTTTAAGGAAAATTTGCCACAAGTGGAATTTCTTGGGTCAAAGGTATACACATTGAAGATACTAATACCTAGGTACAAAATATCCTATAAGATGGTACCATTTCACACACTTTCCTATAGTACATGAGTCCTATATATATTTGATATAGAATGGCATTTACAGTATCTCCTGTAGGAGTTTCAAGCCTCATGTTTGCCACCATATGCCTAGCAGCACCAAGTACAGTGCCTCACACAGTGGCCACCCAAATGTTTGTTGAATGACCAGACTATGTTCCTTGAACCTCTCTTCACAGTCCTGCTGCTCCATGGCCTATCGGCAGACTTCTGGTTCTCCTTAAGCATCCCATGTGTCTCTACCAGCAGTTATGTCCATGTGCCAGGATCTGTGACTGTGTTAACTGCATTTAACTCTTTTAATACTCACAAAGAACCCACACAGAAAGTGCTTCCATTATCCCCATGTAACAGACCAGGAATCTGAAGCTCAGAGAGGTCAAGTGCCTTGTCCTTGGTTCACACAGCTAAAACTGGTAGAGTGAGGATTCAAACCCACCAAATAAGCACCATGATAAACCAAACTTATTAGAGAGGGGAACCCTGGCAGGTTGGTCAGAGATTTGGTCCAACTTCATCATCAGATGCGCTGTGGCCCCAGAGAGGTATGCCAGCTGATGCCAGCATTTAATGGCAGCATAGAGAGGACCCTAGGGGCAGGGAGTGGCCCAAGACCCTTGGGCTAGGGTTTTTCTACCAGCTGAATCCAGGGCTTCCCCATAGTTAAGCCAATCAGCCTCCCTCTGTATGATTTAAAAGTGGGATTAATGGAGTGCCTGGGTGGCTCAATAGGATAAGCATCTGCCTTCAGTTCAGGTCATGGTCCCAGGGTCCTGGGATCCAGCCCAACATCAAGCAAGGAGCCTGCTTCTGCCCTTCCCCTACCTCTCCCCACCCTATTCATGCGCACGGACTCTCTCCCAAATAAATAAATAAAATCTTTTTTAAAAATGGAATTATTGGGGCACCTTGCTGGCTCAGTCAGTAGAGCATGTGACTTTTTTGGATTTAAGTAATCTCTACACTCAACGTGGGGCTCAAACTCAACCCAAGATCAAGAGTCACATGTTCTACTGACTGAGCCAGGCACCCTGAGCATGAGACTTGATCTCAGGGTTATGAGTTTGAGCCCCCACATTGAATGTAGAGCTTACATTTAAAAAGAAAAAAAAAATAGAGAAAGAGTGGAACTACTGATTTAGAAGCTAAAGTGGAAAGTAACACCTTCAATTGTACCTCATGTTTTGTAAACCAGAGTTCTTTGGAAGTTAATGGGGAACCCAAAATAATGGAATCTGCCGTTCAGATGTTTGTAGAGGACTCTGAAGTGGTCTCAACCAACAAGTGAAGATCAGGTATAATTAACAAAGCACTAGATGCAGAAGCATGTCTCAGGATAATTTACATTTATTTATTGATGACTCCAACATACTTCAAATGTGGCAGAAGTCAAAGAGTCTGTCAGGTGAAGCTGTTTCTTGCCAACAGTTAAAGGTGGTTGATGAAGAGTAATCTGAGCATCATCTTCAAGCTGAGGCCCTGGTTCTGGGCAAACAGCTGGTGTGTGGATCTGGTCCTTTCAGCGTGGGTAGGGGTGTCCAAGGAACTACTCCTTATTCTCATACTTGTGCTTGATGTGTTTCCATAGCTTCTGCATTTTAAAGGCAAGAACCACAAACTTTTAGCTTTGTCTCTCATATTTTACAGCTACTCCTACTGTTCTGGTCTCTAAAACAAACTTAAGAGAAACATGTACCATGTCTAGACAGTTGGGGAGGGCAAACTGGAAGCAACACTAGGCTTGATGCATATACTTAACACTTGTAAACTGCTTTGATGTTATCAATCCCATGTAAAGTTAAGTGGAAAAGGATGATCTTTCTTTTATGGGAAACTGAGGTAAAGAGACTGAGGTAATTACTCAAAAGTTCACAATCATTAGGGAACAGAGCCTCAAAGAGGTTGTCAACTTCCAGGTATTACTCAAGAGGTCCTAAATGCATAGCCGCAAATAATTCACATTGAACCATTTTTTATTTCCTTAAATCAATGATCCTTGGGTCAGGGATTAGTTGGATTCTCATCCCCACCCCCTTTTTAAAGATTTTTTTTTTAATTTTTATTTATTTATGATAGTCACACAGAATGAGAGAGAGAGGCAGAGACACAGGCAGAGGGAGAAGCAGGCTCCATGCACCGGGAGCCCGACGTGAGATTCGATCCCGGGTCTCCAGGATCGTGCCCCGGGCCAAAGGCAGGCGCTAAACCGCTGCGCCACCCAGGGATCCCAGATTTTTTTTTTTTTTTTTAATAATCTCTACACCCAACATGAGGCTCAAAGGGAAGTGAGATCAAGAGTTGAGCACTCTACTACTAAGCCAGCCAGGTGCCCTTAATTCTCATTCCTAAAAGCACAGATTGGTAAGCTGACAGCATACTTAAAGCCCTTTCCTGAAGACTGGGAATGGCCAGCAGAACTGCTTGCAAGAGATTGAACAGTAGTAGCAACACTTTCATGGCAGCAAATGGTCCTAAAGCCCTTTCCCGAAGACTGGGAATGGCCAGCAGAACTGCTTGCAAGAGATTGAACAGTAGTAGCAACACTTTCATGGCAGCAAGTGGTCCTGGCCACAGGCCGAACAGCATTAGTGGACAGGGTCGGCCTGGGCTGTAAGGTCAGACAGCTTCAAATTAAAAACACAAGTGAATGGTGAAACAAGGTTATCTGCAGGAGACCTTCCCTAGTATGAGCCACAGTGTAATGATAAAAAGCATGTACAACAGCTAGCAGTGTCTGCGCACAGTGAGTCTAAAAGGTGTGGTTATTCCCTATCTTCCGCTTTCACTTTCTCCTAAGGAATGTAACAAATGTTATTTTTTTGAGTACATCACCAACTAGGTACTGAGGCACCTTGCCTGCATCTCATACAATCCCCACAGTAGTTCCCTTCTCTAGTTACCATTATCTCTAGATCACAGATAAAAATGAAGTTCAGAGAGGTTAAGAAACTCGCCCAACTGAATGCCACAGTTACCAAGGTGACAAGACCCAGTATCCTCATGCAGAGCTCTCGGATTTTATATTGTCTCCTAATCGTTGTTACTACCACAATGTCTGCGTGGGAATCCTTGGAAAGTGAAGAGTGCTGTATCTGAAAAGGCCAACCACAGTACCTAAGAAGCTTTCCTTTTCATGACCCCTGCCCTTTCAAATCTGCCCTTGAAACCCTCAGAGGAGACTGGGTCCAGGTTCCAGCCCAGACTCACCCTGATGGTGGAGCCCTAATCAGTCCTTTCACTGGCCTATAGTTTTTGCTTCCGCAAATGGACAAGTGGGTATATGGGGTGTGAGATATCAATACTTATAACCCACCCCCCAGAGTGGGATCATTCAATGTTTTGGGATTCACATCCTGCGGAGAGGACATATGCCAGTCGACTAACAAAGACGCCCAACGTTTTCCCTCCTCTTAGTAAAGGTAGACTGGGTCCCACCCCACCTCCACTCCCACTGTCACCCCTCAGGCAGGCCCAAGGTCAGGGATGGCCCAGTCCCTCACCCCCTGGTTGATGTGTTCGTAGATCGCATCCGCGCCTTGATCGAAGGCGCGCTCGAAGAACAAGGCGCCCACGGCGATGGTGAGGGCGAAGGTGGAGGTCCTGCGGAACAGCAGCGAGTACAACCTCGCAGTAAACGTCGGGGCCGCCATGTTTCTCCCCTGTCAAGCCTGCGCCTGCGCCGCGGCCGACCATGCGCTCCAAAAGTCCTCGACGTGCAACACTCTATGGGATTTGTAGTTTTTCTGAATCTCAGTGCTTATCGTTCTGAAAGACAGAGGTAAGTGATGGCTTGCGGGGGTAAAAGTCTCATAGGATTCAGATCAGGACAGCCCAAATAGTGTGGTAAGATTTGTTACCCAGTGTTTCTCAATAATTTCTTGCTGAGTGAACCAATCCAGAACTACAACACCCAGAAGGCCTCGCGCTTCCCTTACCCGCCCCCCACCTCCCGCGCCGTCTCCCCCCGCGTCGTCTCAGCTACTTTGATTCCCAAAGGTTTCTGGGAAGGTCGGGCTGATACTCAAGGAAGGACTACGAACCCCAGCAAGCAGTTCGCGACACGAGGGCGCAGAAGGAGGAGGAGCTTGAGCCGTGGGGCCCTACGGAACCAGGTACTCTACTCTCTCTTTGGCAGGACGTCGAGGGGCGGCGAGTGTTAGTCGTCTTCTCTCCACGGGAGAATATGGGCTCTTCTTTCCAAGTCCCTGCCCCACTCTGTGGACCGCACCATTTAACGGAACGGGGAGTGAATAAAAGGACGCCCAGGTCCCCGGCTCCTCTCTGCGAGTCTTTTCTGTTATCCTCGAAGTCCAGGCCTAGAGTTGGAGCCTTTGGCAAAGTTGGGCCCAGGAACTGGAACCCCTTTAACAGGCCTCTGTGGCAGGAGCGGTTCTGCACACGCTTTGCCCCCTAAAACTCTGGCCTAGAAGGGGCAGATCTGGGAACCACTCATTCTTTCTTGGGAATAGAAATAGGGGCTTTGGTATACTAGCGCCGTTCAACTGATGTTTTCGGAGCGCCACCTCTGGGCCATGCCCTGGGGACCTAGCGGTGAGCAAGTCCCGGCAGTCATGGAGCGCTCACCCAGTGTGTGGAGATGCGGAGATGTGGTAACCACAAACAAGTAATACTCTAAAAAGCAAAAGACAGGTTGATTGAGGAGAGTCTGGCGGTGCAGTTTTAGAGTGCCGAGGGAGACACTTTAACCAGAGACGGGAATGAATGGAAGTCGGCCAAACAGGAAAAGGTTGGTGCAAAGAAAAGGCTGCAGGAGTCCTGGAGTGCTTTAGGGGAGGTGGTAGGGCTGACTATGAAGAGGTGGGCTTGGGTCAGCTTATATATGGCCTTGTAACTCATACTAAGGAGTCTTATTTATTTTTAATTGCTCTAGGAAGCCCCTGAAGGGTTTTAAGCTGGGATGTGACATGATCCAATTTACATTTTGGCTGCTTGATCATTCTGGCTGCTTTCTGGAGAACAGATCAAAGAGGGGAAGTTATTGTGTTGGGTAAGTTGAGACAGGATGATGATTTAGACTGGGATATGGATTAGAGTAGTGATCAGATTTGGGATGTATTTTGGGAGGCAGGCCAGATGGAAAAAGCTGACAGATGCGTGTAGGGGTGCTGGAAAGAAGAGTGGAGGATGGCATCTCTTAAGTTTTGACCTTAACAACTTAAAATCCACAGGGATGACCTTAAACTCTGTTTGTCATGTTAGGTTTGACCTTTCTCTTAGACATCAGGTGGAGATTCCCAGAGGCCGGTGGTAATTTGGATCTGGAGTTCAGAGGAGAGGTCTGAGCCTGAGATAAGTCATCAGCATCGGTACTGAAAACCAGGAATTAGAGGCCTGGATTTACCATTGACTGGGAAAAGCAACAGAAATGCCTGATTGGGGAAGAAAAATGTGAAAAGCCCTAAAACCAGGATTAGTTAAACATAACTGGGGTTATTTTCTATTTGCAAAGCATCCTGGTAGCTCCTTGGGGCAGAACGTTGTGAAGCTTCTAGGAAAGGATATCTATGCCGTGCTAACAACAAATCTGGCCGATGGGAAGTTCAGAGAAAGGAGGAATTACTTTAATAAGGATGAATTAGGAAAGACCACACGGAGTTAAGTTACTTTATCATTTTTTAGTTAATATTCATTTTGGAGCAACAATTTTGAAATAGCAAATTTTCTTTAAGCCACTTACTCAACTTATAAATCATTCTATACATATCATAAATCTAGAAAAATAAGAAAAATGACCTTTACTTTTCCTTTGATGTTTGAACTCAAGTTGAACTAACCTTAAATTCTTTTAAACAGCCCATCTACAGCTTAATTACATTCCCTTACACATTTATTTCACTTATAAATTTGATTTTCTTTTTAAGTACTTAAGATACATAACCTAACAAGTATGATTTCCTAAGAATATTTAAACATTACTAGAAAATCTAATAAATTAAACTTACAAACATAATGGATTTCTTTTTTTTTTTTAATTTCTTTTATGATAGTCACACAGAGAGAGAGAGAGGCAGAGACATAGGCAGAGGGAGAAACAGGCTCCATGTACTGGGAGCCCGATGTGGGATTCGATCCCGGGTCTCCAGGATTGTGCCCTGGGCCAAAGGCAGGCGCCAAACCGCTGCGCCACCCAGGGATCCCAACATAATGGATTTCAAGTTCTTGTAAACAGTTCAATACTTTTAACAGAGACTTAAATTATTTTATGTCACTGGTTCTCAGTCTGGGAAGCTAAAAATATATATATACACGGGTGTCGTCTCTGATACGAAATGAGGATATGGGGGGGGCGCCATCAGTAGCTTTCACAGCACTCCAGATGATTCTAATATGCAGCCAGTGTTTTTAATCATTGCTGACCATTCAACTTGAAATGATGGATCTAATATTAATTACTGATACATATTTTATCAATTGCCTAACTACATATATATATATATTTTTTGTCCATTCCTGAGTTTATTTTATTTAAATATTTTATTTATTCATGAGAGACAGAGAGAGAGATAGAGAGGCAGGGGGAGAAGCAGGCTCCATGCAGGAAGCCTGATGTGGGACTTGATCCCGCGTCTCCGGGATCCTGCCCTGGGCTGAAGGCAGTGCTAAACTGCTGAGCCACCAGGGCTGCCCTACATATATATTTTTTATTATTTTTTTCTTTTTTTCTTTTTTTTAAAGCAATTTTCTTTTCCTTTTTTTTAATTTTTATTTATTATTTATGATAGTCACACAGAGAGAGAAAGAGAGAGGCAGAGACACAGGCAGAGGGAGAAGCAGGCTCCATGCACCGGGAGCCCGGCGTGAGATTCGATCCTGGGTCTCCAGAATCGTGCCCTGGGCCAAAGGCAGGCGCCAAACTGCTGCGCCACCCAGAGATCCCCATATATATTTTTTAAACATCTTTTTTCTTTATTTCTTTTTTTTAAAAAACATTTTATTTATTCATTCATGAGAGACACAGAGAGAGAGAGGTAGAGATAGAGGCAGAGGGATAAGCAGGCTCCATGCAGGGAGCCCGATGCAGGACTCGATCCCAGGACTCCAGAATCACGCCCTGGGCTGGAGGCAGGCGCTAAACCACTGGGACACTCAGGGATTCCCCACAACATCTTTTTTTCTTAGAGATTGTATATATTTATTTGAGAGAGAGACAGTACAAGCAGGAGGAGGGGCAAAGGGAGAGGAAAAGGGACAAGCAGACTCCCTGCTGAGTGCAGAACTCCTCCCAGGACCCTGAGATCATGATCTGAACTGAAGTCACACACTTAATGGACTGAGTCCCGCAGGTGCCCCCCAACTATATATTTGAACTTCTGTATTTTTTTAAGTAAGCTCTGTAGGGTATGAACTCACAACCCCAAAATCAAGAGTCCCATGCTCTACTGACTGAGCCAGCCAGGCACCCCTAACTTCTGTATTTTACTTTACATTTTTCTTAAGACTTTACTTTTAAGTAATCTGTGCAGTCAACATGGGCCTCAAACTTAAAACCCCAAGATCAAGAGTCACATGCTCTACCAACTGACCCAACCAGGCACCCCAATATATTTCTCAATTCCTAACTATGTATTTTATTTTATTTTTTTAAGATTTTGTTTATTCATGAGAGACCCAGAGAGAGAGAGAGAGAGAGAGAGGCAGAGACACAGGCAGAGGGAGAAGCAGGCTCCATGCAAGGAGCCCTACATGGGACCTGATCCTGGGTCTCCAGGATCAGGCCCTGGGCTGAAGGCAGCGTTAAACCGCTGAGCCACCCAGGCTGCCCATAACTAATGTATTTTAAATTGGAATCACAATGCTTATCTGTCATACTCAACATGTCAGATTATCTTCAGTGTTATACTTTTAAATACCAAGTATTTAAAGCCACCTGGGTGGCTCAGTGGTTGGGCATCTGCCTTCAGCTCAGGGCATGGTCCCAGAGTCCCAGGATGGAGTCCCACATCAGGCTCCCCTCGAGGAGCCTGCTTCTCCCTCTGCCTGTGTCTCTGCTTCTCTCTCTGTGTCTCATGAATAAAATCTTTTAAATAAATAAATAAATACCAAGTATATGCTGATTATTACTAAACTTAGGTTAGGAACATCAATACAATATGTTGATTTATTTTACTACCTCTATTTTCAATTTAAACTTACCTGGAGCATGACAGGATATCTAACCAGTAAGAAAACAGCTTTATCCATTCTAATGAATTGTGTTTAGCATTCCAATCGAGTTGGGTTTACCCTTTCAGTGAGGTGAAGTTATTTATAATCAGATTTCTGACTGAGACAATCCAAGGGTTGTGTCTACCCTAGAGCGACTGTCCCCATCAGAGGCTGTCTTTGGGATGCAGGGAATAGAGAGGTCGATGAGCAGGAGAAGCTTGTTCCCCCAGGCTTTGTGTCTTAAGGGGTACCTACTAGAGAGCACTAGATTCACTGATTAAAATGCAGATTTCTGGGCCTTGCTCCAGATCTGCTGTGTCTGAATTCCTGGAGATCTGACCCAGGAGACTTCATTTGTATGAAGCTCCTTACCAGAAGTCCTGAAAATCTTCAGCAGGAATCATTCTAAAAGAGTTGATCTGATTCTGCTGCTCAGGGTGGAGTGAACTGAAGAGGCTTGTTCAGATGCCAGGAGATGAGACCTAACTTGCCCAGAAGTGAGGGTGGTGACAGGACCAGACTGTGGGTAGAAGAAGGGGGAGGTAGAGGCAGTTCTGAGTCCAGGTTTCTGGTTCAGAAGTCTCAGACTATTTTTAACTTTCCTATTTGGAAGCTCTGGCCTCCTGGGACTTGTAACTATCTGATGAGGAACTCTGTCTCCGGCCTGCAATTCCCTAGAGCCCAGATTTGGGTTTAGCCACCCTGTGCTGACCCAGGTCTGCTTGGAATCATGGTGCGTTCTATCAGCCTTCAGCCAGGGATTGAGGGTAATGTCTATTGTAGATCTCTTTCAACACCACCCCTGACTGGTCCATCCAGGTGAATCAGGTCATTGGCACCATCCACAGCAGCCTCCTAAGGGAGAAGGAATAGTATTTATCCTTGCTTGGCAAATTTCCCACTTTTTTGAAGGGGATTTTTTGAGAAAATTTAAAACAATACACACTAAATGTAGAAACTTAGAAAAATACAAAGTGAGAAAAAATTTGTACATAATCCTATTATCCAGACATAATCATAATACTCTGTGTCTGCCTAGCATTGTGTGTGTGTGTGTGTGTGTGCGTGTGTGTGGTGGGTGTGTTGGGCTGGAAGTTCTTTTTTTTTTTTTAATTTTTTTTATTTATTTATGATAGTCACACAGAGAGAGAGAGAGAGAGAGGGGCAGAGACACAGCCTGAGGGAGAAGCAGGCTCCATGCACCAGGAGCCCGATGTGGGATTCGATCCCGGGTCTCCAGGATCGTGCCCTGGGCCAAAGGCAGGCGCCAAACCGCTGCACCACCCAGGGATCCCCCTGGAAGTTCTTTCTCCTTAAAAAGTGGTATCATATTGTACAAACTATTGTGATAAGGAGCCATTTTTTTATTTAGCTGTATAGGGAATGGTCTCTTTTGATTTGATTTTTTTTAAAGATTTTATTTATCCATTCATGAGAGACACAAAGAGGCAGAGGCATAGGCAGAGGGAGAAGCAGGCTCCATACAGGGAGCCCAATGCGGGACTCGATCCTGGGACTCCAGGATCATGACCTGAGCTGAAGGCAGATGTTCTTAACTGCTGAGCCACCCAGGCATCCCTCTTTTTCTTTTTTTTTAAAGATTTATCTATTTATTTGAGAGAGATAGAGGCAGGGGCAGAAGGAGAGAGAGAATCTCAAGCAGACTCCCCATTGAGCATGGAACCTGATATAGGGCTTGATCCTATAATCCTAAGATCATGACCTGAGTCAAAACCAAGAGTTGGACATTCAACCGACTGAACCACCAAAGCACCTCTCCTTTGACTTGATTTTTAATGGCTATGTGGTAGTGCATTGCACAGATGTGGCTCATGCCTTACT